TGTTTGTCTAAGCCGACAGCTCCTTATTCAATTGTTCACGATGTCTCTCCACTTAATTCTTGCTATAAATTTGTCTCTTTGCCACACTCTTAACACTGTACCTCAGTGTGCCCCAGAGACATGGTGAGCCAGCAGCTCACCACTAACTCAGCTTAAGCAGAAATGCTAGCAACAAAGACCAGCCTGCCAAAACCCATAAAACTTGCTGCTTTTTGCCTCAGTTTAAAACAAAAAAATAATATTGTCTTTTCTCTAAAGTGGTAAAGCAACACATGCCAAAATGAGTTCTTGACCTTAGAGGATTTTTAACGGTTTTGAAGAAACCTTGGCACTTATAACACATTCTCCAAAATGTATGGTTGTTAATTAGTTTAACAGCATAAGTAAAAACAAACAAACTAGTGGCAGAAGGTGCAACCACTGGTTTTTTGGTAGGGAATGGGAAGTACATGAAATCCCAGCTTCTGAAATACTGAATAAATTGTAAAGGAAAGAACTGATTAAAAGCTGAGAGGTAGTCATGTCCATTGCCATGTTAAACTGCTGTTTTACTGTTACCACAGTGTCTATGAGAATGTACCTGTACTTGTCAGCTGGGCAAAAACAGTTAATGAAAATCTAAAACATGAAGAAAAATGGGCATTTCCCCCCAAATGGGGGGGTGGTTTTGTTTTCTTCTTTTTCTTTAAGATTTAAAGAAGCGTTTTGCATTATTTATCAATTTTTTACTTTTTCTGAAGAAAACTTGATAAGAAAATATAGCTCTCAGTAGATTAAAAGTCATTTCTACCTATTGCAAAGCAAAATTTTGCTAGGTCACATGTAGCAATTTTTGCACAGACCACTGCATGCTGAAAATCCCACTTTCCCACCAGAAGTGTTTGCCTCTCTGCATTTGTCCTCAGAATCATTCAAAAACTGGCTGCAGGAATCTACTGCAGATCTGCAAGGCCTACCGGGTAGATATTCCTGCTCTCACCCAGTTTCAGGGTTTTATCCCTGCTCTTGCTTATATTTCCAGTATTTCACCCCTGCAGATGAGGCTGTTGTTTGTAGTCATGAATTATGTTTTCTCATTTAGCACAGAAGATTTGTTCTGATTTTCCTTGGACAGTCATGCAGGGCAGAAAGGAGCAAATACACTTTTCTTTGCTGTGTGCCATTATAAGGAGGGGACAGGAGTGAAGGGCAGAAGGCTAAGGAATGACTAGCTTATGCCTGTTTTCTACCTCCTAATGTCTTAAAAGGTGTTAATCTCTGAGCAAGGTGCCCTGAAGAGGAAAGCCCTGTTTATGCAGAAGGCAGGAACAATGTGGGAAGGGACAAGGATGGCTGCCCTGCATGCTCAGGCAGCTTTGCTTCCATCCTGTCCTAGACTGATCTCTTCCAGTGGTGATGGGTGCCTCTGGCACTGGGCCCGTTTCACCTTGCCATTTAGGCCAGGATGGCTGGGAGTGGTGAAGGCTCTGCAAACACCTCGTGCCCACAGACAGCTGGCTTGGCAGTGCAGGGCTCTCCTTACACAGGGCTGAAGAAGAGGAGTGACAGCGTAAAGGATTTTGCGTTACAACAGGTTTACAAATCTGAAATAGCAAATCTGGTAAGCAATACAAATGTCAGTTCTAGGGATTAGAAATAAAAAATAGATACGAAACCTAGCTTCTTATTCTACATGTAGGATGCATGAAATTTCCACTGGTAAAATACCACACTTTTCCTGTGAATGCATTTTCATTTAACCTCTTAGGACTGGAAGAATGGAATCTTTTCCTATTCTCTAAGAAGCAGTGCATATGGATGCTGAAGCGGTACATCTCTGAGATCTGGTCAGGATTTTCCTGAGATTTCGTATATTTTCACATTTAAACTGTTTGTTCCTTCTTTTATTTGAAAATAAAAGGTATTTCCTCCAAAAGATGATGAGCCGTACAGTAAACAGGTAATGATAGCAAAACAAGTCCAGCCAGGAAAGGGAATACTAATACTAATACTAATACTAATACTAAATAAACACACACTACTTCTGTGCCCAATAATTTTGATGTCTTAGATCCTCTGGTGTTATTTTGTGTTCTTATTTTCTGCTGCATCCTATGTGTTACCCACGTCAGCTACTCCCCTGGCTCTCAGAAAAGCGTTTCACAGCCACTATTTCACTTCATGCAATAGCTCTTTTCCTGTATGATTTTAATGGTTGGTGCAAATCTAGATGCAAGAATTAGAGATGCATTTATCCTCCCCAGACAGAACTCCTCCTGCTGACATTCTCCACAGAGTAGTTTATGTCCAAGGCTCCAAGAATCATGCAGAATCCCATGGTTGTTTCCAGACAGTCAAGCAGGAAACCAGGTTTGTCAGCAACACTTCCAAAGGCTGTCTTTCTTCTCTCTTTTTCTTTCTCACCTCTGTTGGTGTTCATATCCTTCTTGCCAACACTGGTGCTCCTTTAACTCAGCCACCAGGTGGTTTTTCAGGATTTGGTTCTCATGCCAGCCATGCCATCCCAGGCTCCACACCTGAGTGAAGGAGGAGCACCTGTGGCTCCTTACTAAACCTTTGAATTAATGCAAAGTGAGTCAATCAACAGCAATGCCTCTCTCTGCACTGCAATAAGCAGTCTTCTGAGAGGTCCAAAGAGCGTGCTGGCATTGGGAGATGGGGAGAGCATGGAAGAACTCTGTCTCTAGCAGGTGGGAATGCTACTAGCACTGCTTTCACATCAAGATGAAAGTGGGATTTTTTTGCCATTGTTGTTGCCCTGAAGAGGTTTAAGTCCTCTTCCTCATACTGACTAATCACTAAAATGTGACAAATCTCCACACAGTAAGCTCTAATAATGAAAAATGCCACGTGCTGAAACTAAAAAGTCTAACTGAAGGATGATGCTTTTCAATGCTTTCTGTTTTCCCAAGGACAGCCAGCCACACACACTGGTCTGTGCCTCCACAGTTTTGACTTGACCTCTATATTCTGTCCCCTCCCTAAAATGTCATTTTGATATATTTTGGCAAATCATCTTTATTTTAAAATGATAATGTTAACAGTTTCTGGACTCTAAACTTGCCTTTTTGCAGAATTTTGGCCTTTTGGCTATTGTCAAAATTGTGTAAATCCACTCACATTCAACTAAGTTATAAACCGTCAAAAACCTGCAGTTTGTTTTTATTAGATGTATTTCTCATCAATTCTCAGAATGTATTTTTTTCTGCAATGTCAAATCCAAACTGTGTGCTGTGTCATTCCACATGTCCTGACAGACAAGCCAAGAGCAAAGGGGCTGCTGGGCATGAGTTGCCTTTGCCCAGCTGCATGCCAGCAGTGCACACAGCACTGAACTGAAGGTGAAGGAGCTGTGGGGTTTAGCAAGAGCAGGTGAAAGAGAAGGGAGAGCAGGCATGGGCTTGTGATGAAGGGGACACACACCTAAATTGGGGTGGACTGGAGAACATGGAAGAGCACTAGAAGGATGGGGGAAACAGGACTTTGTACACGTGGTGAGTAATTTTGTGGCATGAACAAGGCTAGTAATTGTCACAAGAAAAAAAAAATTATTTTGTCTCTGACATACACATCAACATTGCCAAGTTTCACCCAGCCGAGAGGAAAGTGCTATGAAGCCCAGGCTGGAAAACTCTACTGCAGTGCCTAATGCAGCAACTGGCAACTTGCTATTGCTATGAGAGATGCTGCTAGCTTGAGAGCAGTAGAGGTCTGGTGCAGTGAAGGGCCACAAACATGCTCCAACCTGGGTGATAGAATATGGTATCTTTGCAGTTTTTTCCCTATTTAAAAAGTGCAGGAGATAATTGTTTAAAGAAGTAAGTACAGAAAAACAGGCCATTTGCACGCAGATGTGTGCAAATACTTCGTTAAAAATTGCATCATATAACACAAAACCTTTTGAAAAGGGTGCTTTTAAAATTTTTGTGGCTCTGGGTGCTCATTGAGACCAGGCAGTGCTGCAACTACCTTGCTGGCTGTATCCATTGAACATTGTAGGATCTGGAAAAGTCAGCAGTAGGTGTCTCAAGTAAGGCACCCAAATCTCTCTGTAATTAGTACCCACTTCGCCTTGGTTCACCATGCATGTAGCTACTGCTTTAGAGGGCATGCTCTGCCCTGAGCCCCTCACTGAGCCACGTGTGACAATGCCTGCAAGGATGTCAGATTTCATGCTTGAAGAAATTGTCATTTGTGTGTTGGGAGTGTGCCACTTTGCAGTCTTCCTAAAGCCCTTTTGTGTCCCGTCCCACAAACACACACACACGGAGAATAAAGCAAGCCCCGACAGCTTCAGCGTCTCTTGCAGTACCACTTATCTGTGGGGATCTCTGCAAGCTGGCAGTGAGCTGTTGGGTCCCCAGGAGGAGCGGGGAACTCCAGTGACAAAACTGTAGTGAAAGGGTTTCTTTCAGGCAGCAGGGACGAGGAGATCCTTCACAGTAAGGAAATACAAACAGACCTCTGAGAATTTGGCTCCTAGGAGATGAGAAAGAAAAGCGCAGCTCTGGGGTGCAAGGTTTCACCTGGCATTAACTGCGCCCCGCAGCCTCCGCATCTCAGCGCGTTGTCCCGCCCGGGGCCAGCAGTGCCCGCTCCCCGCCGTGCTGGAGCGCCGGGCAGCCCCCAGCGCTGCCCGCCCGCCCCACGGGAGCTGCCACCTTGGCTTCGGTCCCGGCTCACAGACCTGGATGCCGCGGTCCTGGCTCCCGCCCGTGCGGTGCCCGCGGGAGGCGCGGCGGGGCCAGGGCAGGGGCGCTCCCGTGGGAGGTCGGGGCTCACCGGGGCGGGGGTCGGGACCACCTCCCCCGCCCGCCAGGGGCTGCCGGTGTCCGTACGTGTTGCTTCAGCATGTGGCGGGGGCGTGGGGGAGGAATAAACCCTGCGGGGGAAGCGAGCGGCGACCCGCCGGGAGCACCGGGGAGGGTTCATCGGCGAGGATCTGTGGGTCTGGGAGGAGAAAGCGGAGGCCGGGCTGGGGAGGGGGAAGGATAAGAGGAAAAGGGGCAGAGCGGCTCGCAGAGGTCGCACACCGCCAGCCTCCACGGCAGCGCCTTCCCGCGTGCTCCCGGAGCTGGTGGTGGGTCCTCCCTTCCCGTCCCACTCGTTTCCTCCCGCTTTCCCTGCCACAGAGGGCTCGGGGCTGGGAGGGAGAGAAAGGGACCCCCAGGGCTAGACAGCAGCTCGCCCGAGGCGGAGGCAGGCGCGGCGCCCCGGGGGAGGCGGCGGCGTCCAGCAGATTCTCCCGGCAGTGGGAGGGCTCCGGGAGAGGAGCGGCTGGGGGAGCATCTCCCAGTCGGGGCTGACTCCCGAGGAGCGAGGGAGGGACACAGAGAGAGGGAGAAAGTGCCGCCTCTCAGCTTTACAGGCGTCCCCAAATTTTAAGGACTGGGGTGGGGAAAAAGAGAAGAGAGGACCTGATCTGGGACCTCCCAGCCGGAGCGGTTGAAAAGGAGCCAAAGCAGGCGTCGGGGGGGGAGCGACATCCCAAGGAGAGTCCCCGTCCTGCGCCGCCCGCAGCCGCTGCGTGCCCGCCGCCGCCGCCTCAGGATGTGGGTGCCGCTGCTGCTGCTGCTGCCGGAGCTGCTCCCCGCCGTGCCGGCACAGAAGCTCTCCGCCCTCACGGTAAGGCCACCCCGCCGCCGGACGCCCTCGGGGCCGGTCCCGGGAGCACCTGAGCGGGCGATGCGGCTCCGGGGCGGCGAGAGGCGCCCGCGGCTCCCGGGCCGAGCGCTGCGCCCTGACCCGGCCAGGCGGGAGCGAGCCCTGGCCAGGCGGGAGCGAGCCCTGGCCAGGCTGGAGCCCCCGCCAGGCGGGAGCCCCGGCCGGCGGGAGCTCCGCCGCGGCTCGCCCCGGGAGCAGCCGGCACCGCCGCCCCGCCGAGCGCCTCTGGGCAGAGCGCGGCCCGCGGCTGCGAAGCGCAGGTTTACTGCGGGTCCCCGCAGAGCTTCGGTCCGGCGTTAATGTCCGTGTTAATGCTTTTATTTGCCCGAAGAGGAATAATGCTGCGGTGAGGTCCGCTTTTGGACCGACTCGGGCTGACCGATTTTACTTCATTTTAATTATAAAGCAACATGAAACAAGCCTTTCTGGCTGTTCCAGGCTCCATGGTGCTATACATGGAACTCCGCGTAGAGATGGGTGAGCCAATTCATTAGGCTTACTAAATAAGCCATAACCACTATTCTAGCCAAGACCTGAGGTTTGCAGCTAATAGCTCAGTTCAGTCTTCTTGTAGAGCTTGCAGTGTTTGCAAAGCTATAATTAATGCAATCTGTAGAAATAAAAACATTTTCCTTAAATGTGTTTTTAAACAAGTGCTTGAGTAAACATAACGGGCAGCAAATACCTCTTTCAAGCTGTTTTTAAGTGTTTTGGTGAAGGCTACGCGCTTAGAGTTTATTATGGTAAAGTTACAGGCAGCTGCAAAGTGAAATAGACCCTATTTTGTTTAAGTCTTTCAGAAAATTTCTGTAAAATCCCAAGAGTTGAGTTTTTTGGTTTGGTTTGTTTTTTTTTTTTGTTTTTTTGTTTTTTTTTTTTATTCTTTCACCCTTTATTGAATAAGGTGCTATAGGGACAGCTCAAGGTGAAATGGCTGTGGGAGATGGCTGAGCTGTTCATACCTGAAATTCTTCAGGAAAAGTTTTGCCTTGTTGACTAAATTTGGGGTTTTTGTTTTTTGGTTTTTTTCCTCTTAAATGATTTGTAGATTAGAAGCTGCTAATTGAAAACCCTAAAGGACTGAGTTTGCGCCATGAATTTTATTTTCTATGGTATTTTATGGTGTGGGACCGACAAAGTAAAGTGATTCTCATATTTTACTTTTTAAGACCCTCATTTGAAGCCCCTTTACACTGTCAGGTGGTATATACTATTCTAATAAAACGATTAACATTACAATTTACTTTCAATTTCACTTTAACAAATGTATAAACATAATTTGCAAGATAGTACATGTAATGTTCTTTTTTTCTGTACACAAAGAGAGTTCTAAATATTAGTGTGGAAGTAAACTGGAAATGTTACCAAGCCTTAGTTTGTCCAAATGTAAAGTAAGAGTGATTGTGACAGTTACAATACCTTCAGATGATACATAACCCAAATGATGTTAAAGCCATTTAAAATATGGATATAAATCACTGCAGAATATACTTTTCATTCAGTAAGGGGTTGTCTGCATCACAAAAGGGAAGAAAAATCTGGCCAAGGGCACTTTGGCAAACTCTTAAAAAATTAAATGCTGTAGACTCATGCAAATGTATTTGACTTCGCTGTTATCTGAGTGATGTTAAAAATCTCTCTGTTCCTTCCTTCACCAATTCAAAGTGTGCATTACTCATTTCTGTACCGTAGAGTAGTCTGCATCTTTATGAACCATGAGCAGAAAAGTCAATTCTGGTGAAATGCCCACCCCTGCCTCTGCTACCAAAAAGGTAATGGTTTTGAAGACATCAAGCTTTCATACTGAAATGAACTTGAACATTTTGGTAGATGTAGCTAGCCTTGTTAGTGAAGGACTGCAGGTAGTGAGCTCATGTTAGTTTTTCCGCTGCCTGTGCTCTTCTTACAGAAAGGGCTCACCCATACAAATACTAGACTACGTTGGAAATCCTTCCCTAAAACAAGTAAGGGACAGGCAGACACCCATAGGAGCGAAATAACACAGGCGCGCTCTGATGCATATATACTTTCTACATCTTCCCACAAGGCTGAACTTTGAGTGAGGCAGGTTTATTTCTACTGTTTCTGTACATACCTCTTTAACCAACAGTAAAAACCCAGTGCTATTACGGCAACAAATACCACACCACTTAATCATTTTTAACTCCTGCAGTCATTTTGCTTGTAGCTCACAGACTATATAACCCCTTTCCACATGTACCGTTCTCAAATATCCAAGGATAGTATCTGCGTAATTACAAGGAACAACAAACCAAAGCTGTGTCGAAAAACCAAGAAAATCTATGGCTTTTTTTTCACCTGCTGTGCCACTGTGTGGCGACTGAGAAAAGCCATTCTTTTCTACACATCATATGCGGATTTTATATTTATTTGTGGCTTGAAGAATAACAGATAAAGGCTGAAATTTTCATAAACAACCAGAGGTCATGGGAACAGGGCGTGTTTCACTGCTGATCTGAGTTTTATCAAAACGATGGGATGATCATGGAGAGGGAATGCGCATCCCTGATCACAATACTGTCAGAGGTATACTCATCTTACCAGGTAGTGACTATATCAGGGGAACAGTGTACTGCAGTCGTAAATCTGACATAAGATGAACCTTGGCAGAGACGAGACAATAAAATTATAGTCCCCTCTAGCAAAAGCCACTCTACCATTTTCTGAAAGGTAACACATGGATTGGAGGTTTTTTCCTTGCCTGAGCTTTAAGCAACAAACTGGGTGATGGCATGGCAGGGAGGGAGGATATCAACATCTGTCTTTAAGATTTTCGTCCATATAAACAGATCTCTGGCCTGTTTTAACTTTATGTCCTCACTAGCTCGAGGAATGGCTCAAGTACTACTTTCAGAAAAGACTTTCAGTAGTTTACAGACCTATTTCTCCATTTAATTAGGAATAATATTTTTGCATTTCATTTGGGCAGCAATACCCACAAGAGCCACCCATGTCTGTAGTCCAGGTGAATGTGTGATTTTCATATGTTGGAAGCTTTGCAATAGTCCAATAGCAATAAATCACAGAGTTTTCACACAAATAATATCTCCTAGAGATTTCTGATTGTTTAACAGTCTTATGTGACTGCAGGTTTGCATGGAGTGATGCCCATAGGCTTCCTACTACAGCAGCTATTAGGATGATTTCTGGTAGGCAGAATAGTCAGCAGGTAGGTGAAATGCTCCAGTTTGTTTAGAGTCCCTTGGACCTCCTGGTTATATCTAAAGTGAATGTGAATGTTGTAATCTGTCCCTCTCTGCCCAAACTGTGGACTCAGATAGAGCTTACTTGACTGCCTGACTCTGTGCTAGGATAGAGAAGGGTTGATGAGAGATGGGCTGATGCATACCTGAATCTTTATTGGGAAGCCATGATGTACACCAGGGTCTAAGAGTTTCAGAGTTTCTATGTCCTCACTGGGTTAGAGATAGTCTAAAGTCCACTGGTACAATCTCTAAAGATAGAGATTGTACCAGTCTTGGCTTTTGTCACCAGGATTACTCTTTGCTAAGGTTTCTCCTGGACTCTGGTCTCCTGAGTAGGACCATATTGCAATAATAGATAAAATGAGGTGAAATGCAATATTCCAATTATTAATTGCTAACTGAGCCTCAGGGATGCATGCAGGAGGATAATGTTCTTTATTGTTGTATTTACTGTTATTTCAAATGAACAAATATTGGCAACAGAACAATGGCTTTCATTATGGAAAGGTAGGCTGAGAGCTGTCTCATGAGAACCCATGAGATCTGGAAGGACTGTAGCCAGTTTGGCTGCTCTTGTTCTTTTCTCCCCTTGTGTCAAATACTGATGTAAAACGTTCTTACATTCCACAGAATATCTTAAATAGCCTTGTCCTTTTACCTTGTTAATAGAAAACCAGGTGGCACTGTGCAATTTTTGTAACACACTGTTGGAATGATTTTGCAATGCTGCATTTTTGTTCTGCTCTGTGAGATGTACCTGTTCTTTCTGGATGTATGAAACTGAGGAGACCTGAGCCTTGCTGACTTCTTCTTTTAGGGAAATTGGGCATATCTTGAGGATATAGGTACTTTTGTTTTGAAACACAGTGCTTTGAAGAAAGCTCATTTTGTTCCTCAAATAAGTAAGTTTATGATCGCTGCACTTACTAACACACTTTGTCATTGTTTATACTGCATTTTTGAAACCATCAGCTTCGCTTTTATCTCAGTTGCAGTGTTGTGTGTGTGGATGTACTTCTACAAACAATAGGATACAAGTGTTTCTTATTTTAAAATCTTGATGACTTGCAACATACCACAAACTATTTATACTTTCAGAGCCTTGCTGCATCATGTGGTTTTCTCAATACCATTGATAGATCTTACAAAGGAAGAAAGTTTGCTTGAAATTACTTCTTGAAATGAACACCTCTGCCTGGTAATAGTTCCTTTCATCAGCAGCTGAATATTTTGGGGAACAATTGTTTTCTTTTTCTCCCTTGGCACATGCTTTGTGAGTATTCAATAGCATTTAGTGTGCTGGATAGCTTCCACGACACTGACCAATATAAGATGGACCGCTAAGGTAGTTCAGTAAAGGGCAGCTAAACACAATCAAAGCTTTCCAAGTTAAGGACCCATTTGGATGGCGCGTGCAAACCAAAACATTTGGAAAAGTTACTCTAATTGTGACTGAAAAACCAAGACCATAAATAAAATTGTAAGTGGCTCCAGATCCTAACAACATTGTTACTGCAAATGGGCATTGGTACAACCAAGGGTACATAAGCTCTGAAAATAAAACACTTTCAACAATGCTTTCTTGCAATAAACTCTCAAGACACTTCTTATTAAGGAAACAACACCAAAAACGGTGGGAGTTGATATTGAAAGTGTCAGCAAACTTTTCGTCAGGGGTCAGAAGTAATTTTTGTGCACACAGCCAACATAAACTTCACCTTATAATGTGTAAGA